TCTTAGTGTTATTCTACACGAACACAACACTCGGATAATCCACTGATCAGTCATGCCTTTGGTGAATTTGTCTGGGTCAAAGGGGAGGCTAGTGCTGAGCACTCTCCTTATTTGTGCCATAGTCTTTGAGTCAGGTAAGTGACTTTATTCCCTTGCTGAGCAGTTCTGTGAGCATGCATTCCTAGAATTACCAAGGAAGGTTTTTTTTGTTTTTACTCCAGTAGTTAGTATCTAATAAAGTACCATTAGCACACACAGCAATCTTACTGTATTATAGTATCTGTATTTATGAATTCCGGATGCATTATGTGCCTTGTACACTGCGTAGCTTATTGTCAAAAAGATGTTAAAGAACAGAGGAACACTCTGGGGAGGAAGCCCATGCAAAGCAAACCCACTGGGAAATCAATAAATAAAGGGTCCAGAGCTGTAACAGCCAAGCCCAAGATTCACGTTGCAGCCCAGAGACAGACCTTCCTCACACAGGTATGTTATGTAGTACAGAATCACTTTTGATATGTTAAAGGAACATTCAATAAGCACAGAAAAATGGCTGCAGATATTGCATACAATTTGTGTATGATCTTGTATCTGACACATAAAGGTGCTAAATAGAAGGACATTTAAGAAGGTGGGAGAAACCATAAGTGTGCAGGCAGGAGACACTCTGGAGCTCAGGTGCAGAGGTAAACCTGTGCAGTGGAGTGTCCCCTCATACCTGGAAGAGGAGGACGATGGAAGGCTGAGGTAAATTACATGGTCAATGACAATGCTAAAACATTTTGGAGATCTACAGTATGTGTGATTTAACTTTTTTGCTGTTTTGGCTCTGCAGGATGGTTCAACATGAGCGATATGGCGTTCTGACATTGCTCAACACTACTGCTGCGGACACAGGGGAGTACACCTGTTATCCAATGTACTGCGATGACACAAACTGCAGGAAGGATTATGACAAAGCTGTCAAGGTCTTTGTCTTCTTTCCCGGTACAATAAAGAAGCTTTATTGGTGCCTTTGCACTTTCCAGTCACACAGCCTCTGCTTTATTTTATCACCACTTTGAGAGAACGCCTTTTTATATCAGCATATCATATGATAGGCCTATCTGATCCTCAATTTGCCATATCTTCTCACTGTGCCAACCAGACCCACAAGAACTATTTGTCCCATCATCTGACTACTACAAGGTGATTCAGCTGAGGACCAATTGGCCAACTGTCCTCCCCTGCCAGGTGACATCCCCTGAGGCCAAGGTAACTCTGCACCGTGAGTTTCCACCAGTGGAGGTGGCAGTGGATGGGACGGAGATCTCCTTTAATGTCAAGAAGGGCTTCGTGATCCATCGACCCCGGCCATATCACACTGGAGCCTTATACTGTGTAGCCAGCCTGGGCAACCTGAGGCAGAGTTCTACCAAGTACATGCTCATTTATGTCAACTGTGAGTCATTCATTTGCCCAATTCTACTTTTATTCCTTTTTTTGTCTCATTCCTGTTCAGTGACATGGTGGTGTTCCATTAGACAGGGAGCAGGGAAAAACAACGGACAGACAGCCAAACCAACACAGGGCTGACCCTAACCCTAACTTACACACAGAGGTGTGAGATAACTATTGCTACAGTGATTGGTCAGTTAGTCATTTCTCATAGAAATAGACCAAACGTTAGTTGGTTCCAGCTTTTCCAATATCAAAATTTGCTACTTTTTTTCTTGTATTGATGTAACGCATCAATGTACAATTGACTTCTTTCGCTGCTTCCACTCACAGCAGATGACACTTCAAACCTTTTAACGTCTCAGGTCTTCACATTTGGAACAACCACAAAAACATATTCTGCAGCTCTCCTAACTCCCACCACTTCCTCTGTTCAGTTTACTCCATCTGCTTTCAGTGTTGTTTACACTTATACACTTGAACTGGCCCCATTTTCATTCTAGACCTTCAGTCCTGGTCACATTTTAATTATCTGCAATTAGATTGACATTTCAGCTCCATTTACTGCTTGAAAACTACGTTTCATCTCTTATCTGCACATTCATTTCAGTTTATAGTTCAGCTTCAATCAGCACTTACACTTAAATTAACACCCAATTCAATACTTTCATTTAAATGCTAACTTATATAGCAATATTTTGTATTTGAATATGCAGTTCCTGTGGCTGTTTCAGGATTAAAACTTGTTTCAGCTGCAAGGTTTCAACAGTCCAATACTATCTCTGACCCAAGCAATTCTCCATTGCTTATTGTTCTCCCTCAGTTGTGATTTCTCCGCAGCAATTTGACCATGAAGGCCTGATTCACACAGTCTTCTCTGAACAGTTGATGTTGAAATGTGTCTGCTACTTGACCTCTGGGAAGCACTGATGTTAGCTCTAATCTGAGGTGCTGTTAACTGGCAGTTTTTGAGGCTGGTAATGCTAATAAATTTATTTTCCGCGGCAGAGTTCACTCTTGGTCTTACTTTCCTGGGGCAATCCTCATGAGAGCCAGTTTCAGTCATTAGTTAAGAAGTTCTTGCCTTAATATGGATTACTCCAGTAGTTGAAAATAGCTGTTTGTTGTAGACCAACACTACTTTAACATTACTATACTTACTGCATTAGAAGTAAGAAATGCATATTAAACTATTCCTCAAGGAGCTGTTTAGGAGATTACCAACAGGCAAATAGCAAGGAATCTAAAATATGTAACATGCTTTGCTTACTGCATATGGGTTACTTCACGATAAAACTAAGAAAAACATTTGAATGAGAAGGTGTGGACTGGTGCTGTAATTTATTTATATGACATGTTTGCTATCAGACCCCATGGCGCCTCCTGCCCCAGTGATCCAGGCCTCTTCCAGCTCCCTGGTTGTGGGGGAGAACCTGCATGTCAGCTGCACCGTGGTGGGAGAACAGGATGTTGCCGTAGAGTTCACCTGGGAATACCCAGGACAGCAGGTCAGGCTCTCAGTGAGAGTGGGCTAATTTGTTTTAATGCTTCGATACTATAGAATACAGTATATTTTCAGTGGGTTTAACTTGTGACTTTGTAAATGTTTTACAGAAGTCACAAACCCCAGATTGACTGTGAGATAAATTAACTAAAGGATTCGTGTAGTAGGTGTACAACCTGTAATTACATTTTACTTAGTGCTTTTAGCTAGGTCATTGTTGGCTAAAAGGCATCTGACCTTTGGACTGCAGATCATCCAGGCCTGTAACTATCTATCAATGACTTACTAACATAAGCTGCAGACGTAATGGCTTATTGTAAAGTGGGAGCTTTTTTCCCATAATGTAGTATATGTGTTTATTTCTGTGTCGGTTGCAGATTGGGAGGCCTCCGTACACACAGGAGAGCATCAGTTCAGTTGGCGGAGGAGCAGCCCGACAGCGGTCTCAGTCTGTTCTGCTGGTGGACGAGGTGAGAGATGTGGACCAGGGTACATACACCTGCACTGCCCAGAATCTGCAAGGAGCCACATCGGTGTCCACTTCTGTCAAAGTGGTCCCCAAAGCAAAACCTAGGAAACCATGAGCCACCGAGCTGCATGACGCCTCAGTGAGAGTGAACACTCAGGTGCCGAAATTTGCTTTGCCACCATATTAAGCAATTTCATCACACATGAAAACACAATCACAAGAACATATCCTCTTCTTGCTGTATGTAGCTATATAAATAACAGATGTACAAAGCAACACTGAAATAATATAGATTTTGTTGCTTGGATGAATGTAGGTAAACCTTTGTGCATAAAACTTGTATATTAAATATTTTACATACATACATTGTTGCCTGTCTTTTTCTAGTAATTTGTTATTTGCCAAAGATGATCGTACATAAGATGTAAGATTTGTTTCCATTCATGAATTACAGAGTCTGAGATACTGTCACATAGTAATGTGATAAACAGGTCAATTTTATGACATGTTAAGTAATTATGACACTATGCTATTATTATATTATGTTTCATTCATGTCATCATCTCATTATGCATACTTAACTTACTTACAATTATATTATTGGACCTCAAAACTAAGTCAAAAAAATGATAATAATACTTTTTCTGTTAAAAAGAACAGTGTTGAGCACAGTCATATCAACTAAAATAAAACTGATGGTGGACCAGTATTGATCCTTAAGTCACACCTTCTATAGATACACAGTACATGTAAGTTATCATTACCTACAGTTCACACAGCACCCTGTTAGATTTGTTAGTGTCCCAGGGCCCAGCCAGCACTACTGTGTTGGAGTATCTGACCCTAGTTTTTGGTGTCTCCATATATGAATAGGCACTGTTTTAAAAGTTGCCATAATAAAAGTCTGAAAACATTCATGTTTTCTCCCTAAGATATGGGCCACAGCATCATTTAGTTGCTGCTGTACTTTAATGGTGTAAATTTTCTCTCACGTTAACAATTAACTAAATTACCCAATCTAACTGACATGTAATTAACCTGGGATTTTTGGGGCCACTGGGGCCCCAGAGTCAGTCACCAACTTATCTGGTTGGTAATCCAGCCCTGCCATTATGGAAAAGCTGTGTGTCTTCTTAGCGTTTCTATGTTTTTTTTTGGCGCACTAACTTGTCCTACCGCTAAGTGGCGCTGTTCCCCGCCACACGAATTTAAGCGTGTCAGGCCATTTACCGGGCTATAGACACATGTTTCCCTGCCTCTTCTGTTCCCTCTCATTCTGTTCTCTCGGCTGTTCAAACCTCCGGGAGGGAAAAGAGGCAGCTCCACTCAGTCCTCACTGGCCACCAGCTGCTGCGCACAAAGTCCTGGATAATATCTAGGGAGCCACTTGAATGCCGTTTGTTTTAGTATATAACCAGCGAGAGAGAAACCCGCAGCAGAGTGCCAGTGTTGACCAAGAGATGTCCTGCGTGCAGAATATGGTGAGCGCCAATCTGTTTTTTAATCTTTTCGTGATCCGCTCCCTCTGTCTCAGTACTGGCGCTGTACTATAAGGATGATGGCGTTTCCACAACTTTTTGCAGACTAGACTAGAATACACTTGAGGAACGGTGATGCTTTCAGCTGGCCAGAATCCATGTGCTCATATCATCGTTAATCCTTACAGATTGTTTCTCTGTTGTCCTGGTATTTGGAAGGGTTTTCAGTGTGTGTCAGTGTGTGTGTGTGTGTGTGTGAGAGAGAGAGAGAGAGAGAGAAAGAGACTGATGGACGAACAGTGAATTTTTTTCCACTATTTATCTCCTGTCACTTTGCAACCCAACCATGGTGGTCTCCTGCACTTCTGCTGCAGTGCAATGAACATGTTTGGCCTGCACGTGTGTAAATGTTTGGTTTGAAGCTCACACACTCCTCTCCAGGATCTCCTTTGACGCTATTTCTGTGTGTGTGAGTGTGTTTGTGTGCCAGGGTTGGGTGAAGGTGAGGGGGGCGACTACATCTCAGTCTTGGGATACTTCCAGACTGTTGTCGTGGAAACCAGAAGCCACAGGTGACCTCTGACCTGAGGACTCATGGAGCTTTGCAGAAAGAGTCCTTTGATTGTGGTGGCTACGGGTGCGTGCTGATGCGAGCGAAGGAGCAGCTCTCACAATAGAGACAATAGATGCGAGCTGTTGTTGGAGATTGCGTGGTAACCATTTCTGTAATTTAGACTGCAGAGAAATTCAGAGGTGATAGTGGGGTGATATAGTGCTGTGTCTGTCAGGGTGTGACTGATCAATGCAGTCACTGCAGTTACTGACACGGCTAAGATTGAAATCATGGCACGAAAACACATTATTTCTGGTCATAACTCCAGCATCCAAATTCAGATTTTTTTTCATTTTCCTCAGTGTTATCTATCCATGAAGCCTTTCCATTAGGCATAGGCCCATATGAAGAGAGTAGATAGGACAGGATCCCCAGAGCCTAGCTGCTGGTGGTGGAAGCCTTGGACAGTGTCCCCAGGCATCATGGAGGTTACGATGGTGATGGAGAGGAGATGGATATGCAGGTGTAGGTCTGAAAGGCAAGTGGGCAGAATGTGTGATTGATTGGCTCGAGGATCACAGGCAGAAAGGTCACTGGTCAGGTAGGGTGATGTCAGGACGGGTGGGGGGGTGTTTGACAGGGTGGGAACACAGAAGTGATGAAGAGAACAAACCGAATGTGAAGCAAGAGGTCTAACTGACTGAACTTTCAACTAATTGTCATTTAACATTTAATTACTAATGATTTATAATTTAATATTTCATATTTTCAGGACTGATTATTTTCAGGCCTATGATTTATTTTCTCAAAGCAGAAAATATTCTTGCCAGTTATGAGGAATTTGTTAAAAGCATCGTGTTTGATTCTGTCAGACTTGCAAATACCATCTGGTAGCTAAACTCGAACGGAGACATTTCTGATGACAGCCTACTAGCGCAGTCTGTCTCCTCACTGTTCTTCTCTCAGCAGAATCAGTCAGACAGCTGCTGTGATAACTTCGTTCAGCTGTTTGAGCTCCCAAGGGGTCGACACTCCCGTGTATGTCTGCCTGTTTGTATACATGTGTCTCTTTAAAGCACCGGCAGCTGATGAAACACTAATTCTGCTGACCATTTGCTTAGTGTTGCCTTCTCCTTTCCATTAGGCACAGCCATTTTGAATGAACTCTACACCTCAGTGCTCCCACAGGGTGTGTGTGTTCTCTGATGTAGCGGCTCACATGTACTGTCCAGTTAAAGCCTGACAATCGAGCATCCTTGTCACCACTTCAACTTCTGTCCTTTTCTTGTTGTGTAGCATGTAAGAGCATGACAGGTCAGTCATGCATCCTACAGTCAAGCAGATGGGGTAGCACAGTGGTAATGGCACTGTGCTGGGTCAGCAACACTAATGAGCCTTTCTTCCAGTCACTGGGTTTGGTCTGTCTCTTCAGTTCTGGTTCTTTTCCTTCCCTTTCTCCCCATTTTCTCGCTGTTTGCTCATAATCTGGGGCTTATCCTAATACCCTATTCTCCCTCTCCTATCTGCACTCATCTCATAGACTCTGTAGAAAAGGCTGTGCCTGATTGCTCTGAGTAGAAAGCCTTATGCTCTTACACTCTGAGCTTTCACTATTCAGTCGTCCCTCTGCCTGTCGCTGCCTGGCCTGATCCGCTCTCTGGGCCGTCTGTCTCTGCGATTAAAGCCTGGCTGAGTTAAGAATATCACTGTGGGACTGGGCCAAGCATGCAGGGCTGTCTGCCTAGATTCTAACACAGTTGGATGTACAGCATTCACAGCTCAAAGCACAGCAAATGCAAAGAATGTGCATCAGTTATTACCATAACTGCCAGAAAATGAAGTTTAAGTACATTAACTATCCAGTCTGCACAAGCATGTGATAATTCCCAATGGTGTTGTATGATTTTGACAGTAGCTCATATCTAATTAACCTTAGTAAAACATTTATTTTATGCAGATTCAACTGGGTCAAGTTACAGGGCTTACTAGTGAGCAAACAGAGAACTAGGGATGGGTACCGAAACCAGTTTCTACATAACCTGAATCTATCGGACCAAATCACAATGCAGATTTCCTGTTGATTGAAGCATTTGTGAAACGGGCGATAGAGGCAACAGAAGCATCACTACACGTCACCTTCTAATGCCTTCATTACACTTGTGCTGCTTTCCATTTAGCTAGGAATGAGATCACTTGCGAGTTAATGGCATTCCAGTTTCAGCTAACCATAATACCAACTGAGCTACATTAACCGTTAGCAATACCAGTTTATAACAACGCAGTGCGTATTTTGTGCATACAAACACCTACGCAGCATGTTCACAGAAAGAAGTTGGACAGTACTGTGTGTACGGCTGTTTTAATAAGTCATAAGTGCTAATAAAGAGTATACTACTACAGTTTTTTACAGCTGTCCCTATATTGCTTGCTCTTTCAAACACATACCTGTGTGTACAGGCCTCATCAACATCATCTGAAAGGTTTTCTCCAATGCAGGTCAAGCATTTAGTCAGGTTTGCTACAGCTTCTGAAAATGTGCTTGTGTTTGCAACTTTTTACACCAACCCCAAAGCAATGTATGTAAATGGGGAGGACAAAAATATAGAAACACCACAACATATAACACAGTCTAGTGTGAAAACCATGACAGTTTGACAGTTTCACTAAAAATTGAAACGTTATGAGGTCTTAATTCAGTTGTAGCCTACCTAATAAAGTTCTTAGTGAGTGTATGTATATAATACAGACTGCAATGTCTTCTGCAATTGTAGCAGGATACACATTTTCACTATATCTATCTACCTGCAACAAACATTAGCCCTTGCCTTTGATTTTCACTTTTAGACTAAACTTAAATGTAGCCAACATCAGCTGCCAGAAAACAGAAAAACTTCCATAAACTAACTCATAAAGTAAAGAGCACTTCATTCTGATACCAGTTTAGGTGTAAGTGTGAGTATGCACGGGTGGATTTGGCATAATGAGGAGCTAGTTTAGGACCCAAATGCATAGTTCTATCAATCAAAATCTCTTCTGCTGCCAGATGGACCAGGCAAGTGTTTAATATTTAAAGACTACTGTGCCCAGCATTTCTGGGGTTATTACTGACTGTATGGTTAATTGACCTGCCAAACAGTAGTTTTATCTGCATGGGGCAGGCAGGACCCCCTGACCTCCAGAGGGGAAAGGTCTGAGAGTATAGAAGGCTTTGACAGACCCCATACTGTGGCTTTTGTCTCTAAATGTCACCAGCTCAGAGGGCAGACGGAAATAGCTGTTCTCCATCACTGATTCTGGCAGAATCTCATCCTGTGACAATTGTCTTGTTAACAAATGTAGCCTGTTTTCCATGTGCCTCAGCTGTGGTGCATTCACGTCAGCCCAGCCTAATTGTTTCCTTGTGTTTTTATTGATCGGGCTTATCTCCCTGTGAGAGGTGCCCATGCTCACCTGCCTTCTATAGATATCAGCAGCAGTAGATATCCTGTGTGTTGGAAAGAATTGTATGTGTTTGTATGCACATTACTTGGCCCTTGTCTCTTGTATCTAGTATGAAGAGTTGGAGCATTGCAGAACAAAACGCCACAAGTTGAAGATCTCCTCTGCAAGCAGGCATTGTTGTTTATTTAGCGCAGCCTCGGCTCTGTTCTCTCCAAAGGGATTTCACTTGGCTGCCACATCTTTTCTTTTTAACATACAATCAGTACAGTGCTTTTAAAGGTTAAATTACTATGACCTTCCCTTGTCTCACTTACTGTAGGTCACACAGGTATTCAAGTAGAACAATGGTTAAGGCTGACTAAACGCTAACTGTTTCCTCTTGTTTCCAGTTGTTGCGCTAAGTTAACTTTATGGTTCCAGCTTTATATTCACTGTACAGTGAGAGTGGTATTAATGCTCTTATCTAACTCTCCTTTCCCAAATATTCTTAAATCTTTTAAGAATGGAACTCTGCTCTAATTATATATTTTGGTTTCTTTTAGGTGAAATCTGTCTCTGTGAAATAAGATAGTCCTTCTAGTGCCCTCTACTTACAGAATTTTAAAGCAACACATTTTAAAAACATGGCTAATTCCAAACCAACAGACACACCGAGCTCAGGTGGATGTCTTAAACAGGATCATGTTATTTGTCATGAGCCAGACAGGCTTCTCTAGCTGCTTCCTGTAATGTTGCGGTCCAGGAGAGCTTAGACAGAGGAAATGAGTATAGCCCGGGTTGCCTCATCTAGTTGACTGGTCAGACAGGCACAGCATCTGTAAGCAGGCCCCAACAGGTCCCTCTCTTTAGTTTTGATCTCATATCTCCATCTGTGAATCTCCAGACACCCTTCTCTCTTCTTATCCTCTCCTTCCTCCCTCCCGCTGCCATTTTTTTTCATCCATTCATACAGATAAATGCACCACCTCCACCACTCCTCCCGGCCCTGTTAGTCAGCTGGGAAAATTGC